CCACCAGTGTTGGTATCTCTTCAATAGGGTACCTTGAGGAATGAAAGGGGTATACTCGAAATTGACCAAGTTATCTATGAACTTGAAAGTTGCTTCTTCTAGCCTGGACTTCCGCACTTTCAGATCCCTTCTAGTAAGACTGAGATTTGTGTTACTGTAGAGAGGTATTGGGACCCCTTGTGTGAAGCCAAATTGTCTAGCAAATTGAGCAGGACAGTAGGGCTCAGCGATGCATTTGTAGGCCTTGGGGTTCAAAGTCCGAATAAATAACTCTCTGGGGATCAGAATGGAGGCCCATATCTCTTTGTGAATAGGTGAAGCACAGGACCTGTCACTTAGGAAATTCTTCAACCAAGATGGACCAATGGTGGGTTCGAAGGGTCGGAAACGGTAAGAAGAAAGGGAAGCTGGAAGTTGGTGGAAGAAAGAGAAGTAAAAAGCAAAGGTAGAGGGATAAATTGAAGCATTGGCCAGCCTTATGCCATGAGTAAAAGGGTTTGGCTCAGAAAATTTAAGGCATTTGGATTGTAACTCAGTGAAATAGACAAAAAGCCAAAACTGAAGGATCCAGAACAGCCTCCCTTGATTAGCATCTAAGGGTTTCTCACAGAAAATGGAGCAGACTCTATATACGTGACCTAGAACATGTGGGGCTAAAGCCACATTTTTCTGTAAAACAAAGGCTTTGGCAAGAGGGGCAAATTCAGGCATGATTTTCTGAGAGGAGGTGCAGAAGAGGAATTTGCAAAGCCAATACAATAAGAAAGAAAAGAATTCCCTATCGGTCACAGGGCCCACTCTTTTATTCTCAGCCTTAGCGAAATCACTATAGGATGAGTTAAGTAAGAGGGGGAATGGAAAAATGCACATTAAGGTCAGGGTAATTAGGGCCAAAAGGAGTGCCAATAGGGAATAACCCTAAGAGATGGCAAATGTCAAGAACAGTAGGGGCCATCATCCCGCATCTAAATTGAAAGAAATTAAAGATAGGATTCCAAAAACACAAGGCAGCAGGAATAAGGAAAGGGTCCTCTGAGATAGTTACCCTGGATAGTCGGAGAGCATCGAGAAGGCAGAGTTCTTGAAGGTCCAGAGTTCTAGCAGGAACAACCCGGTCATACCATTCTTGCCACTTCGTTCTCACCGTGGGTCAACATCGGTGGGGGCGATTTATCCTCCAGTTCCTCCAGTCATGACCACCTTCGTAAAAGAGACATTGGTTTTCCAGAAGAGGATATAGGACTGGGAGTTCAGTAAGGATCTCTTTGAATATGGGCCCAAGCACGTAGTCTTGCTGCACATGGTGACGAGGGACGAAGATGCGTCCATCGATAGCGCTTTTCTCCCCAGCTTTGTACTTCTCACATTCTGCATCAATGATCCTCTTCAGGGTCACAGATGGGCTCACACGCTCTACAACTAGCACTGAAGAAGAAGCCATTGATAGTACGCTTCTCTAGAAAGTGAAGTTGAGAAAGGAAGTAGAGAGAAGCAGAAGATCGGTAGAAAGAAGGGTTTGTGCGTTAAAAGAGCAAGTGATTTCAAAGCACGAAACAAAAGGATTTTTAAAGCTTTTGTGTCTGGAAAATATATTGCGTAAGTCGTTAAGTACTAGAAGTACAAATACGAAGAGCTTCCTTCAATATTGATACTTTTGGAGGAAAAACACAACCTAAATGCTAAGGCTAGCTTCGAAGTAAGATATTTGGCTTCGAAGCCAAGTTTTAACGCCAAAAGCCAAAAAAAAAAAAAAAAAAAAAGGGCTTCAAAACAGAGAAGCCGGCTTCGAAGCACATTTCCATACCTAAAAATATAAGAATACTCGAATGTTTGTTTTACTCCAAAGAGTTTAAAGACCTGTTTTTTGGTTTTTTAACGAAGGTAATGTCCTTCGAGGCAAAACTTGAGATTCTTTAAGGATGGGATTTAGTGTTCGAAACATCAAAACCAATGGTTGGTTTATATAGAGAAAAAAAAAAGGAGAAAAAAAAAGGGGGGGCTGTCTGTTGAACTAAAACAGCATGAACTGTTGTTCGAAGCAAAAGGTGGTCAATTTAAAACTAATTGATCATAATAACCATGATCAAGTGTTGGTTATGGTTGAAACAAACTTTAAGTATAAGATTGTTAGATCCGAAGCACTGGTTCTAAATGAAAATCAGCCAAAACTGCCAACTTTATTCCATAAATTGGAAAAGTTCATAATTGGTTCTTTTAATGTTTCATTTAAAACAATTGAGTCCAAGTTCGAAAGATGAGATTGTTCAGTTCGAAGCTCTGAATTGGCTTTAAAAGATGAATTGGCTTTAAAAGACAAATGGAAGCAGGGTCAAACAATGCCAAATGAAGAAGAATTTTGTTTATATTAAAGCCAAAACAATTACATCGGATGACCCTATCTGGGTATAAACTCAAGCTCATAAAAATAAGGAATGGAATAAATAACAAGATCATGAAATTTAGTCCAACAATGATCAATGAATTTTTGTTCTTTCTTTATTCTATCTTCTATGTCTTCTAACATTGGCTGCATGAGTTGATGTGCTCTCACTTCATAGTAGAGCTCTTCAGCCTTTATTTCGAAAGCCGCCTCTCTCAATCCTTGTTCCAAGTCGTCTATGTCCATGTCATCCCAATACGCAGAATCTTTATTATTGAAATCACCGAATTCTTCAATGAAGTTCTCTGCTTCGTACTGGGCATGAACTTGAAGAGACGAGAGTTGGTCTAAAGATTGTGTAGTGGCCATAGAATTTCGATGCCAGTAGAGGAGCAATGGAAGTTGGTCCAGGAACATATGAAGTTCTGCTTGAGCAAGGGGATTAAGGACATGGCCCCTAGTCAGAATATCATAAGCCCATCGAAATTTTTTGAGAGGGACTTCGTCCTCAAGAACATTGAAGGGCAAGTGAGAGAAAGCTACAAGCAGAAGTTGGGCTTGTTTCCGCTCAGCTGGAGTAGGGGAAGGTAGAGTTTGTAAGGTGGAAAGATGTTATCCATGGAAAGGGCAAGCTTCAGTCTCTCTGTCCAGCAAAGAGTTGGTAGAGGAGAAGGTGTGAATGCTTCAATTTCAGGAGATGGAGAAGAAAGTGTGGATGCTTCTATTATGGGAGATGGCACGGGAGCAGAAGGAACAAAGGCATTAATATAATCGAGCCAGTTAGAAGAACAAATCTTCGCCTTTTGGGCTAAGAATGATGGGTTGTACCCTTGTGCTTCTTCTAGGCGTCGGGCAGCATGCACTATCTTTGTAGGCATGGAGGATGTATACCATGCTACAAGCAGATTTTCCTCCAGACTACGTCGATGGTCAATGGGCACGTAAGGGTAAACCACTGAACTTCGAGCATAGGAAGGAAACTCTAAAGGGTCAATGAACTCAACAAAATGATGGTTGATTCGCTCCCTGTTGATAATTTGCAAAGGCATCCATGACCTGAATATAGAAAGGTGGGTAAAAGTGGCTAATAAATGCATGGACGTTCTTTCGAGGAGGAACAACATCGACATATGACTCTTCGTGTGCTCGATCGCTGGAGGAAAAAAGTAATTCGGCCATGAAATGTATCAGTCTGTTCGAATGCTAAGACGGTGGAAGTATTCAAAAGATTAAACGAGAGTTTAATACAGATGGTGAGTGACAGTTGCATTTCTAGGAAGATGAAAAACCCATGCACATTCTGAGACGTGGGGAAAAGACCCAGATCCACTAATATCACCAAGTCTTGGGTATATTAGTGCGGGGGGTAATGTTGGCTACATATTTTGTGCAAGCCAGTTACAATTCAACGCGTGGCAAAGTAAGGGTAATATGGAGAGACCATTCAAGTCTTCGATCCTGATCATACACGTGGCAGTTAATATTGGTTGTTATGAGATCTGAGTAGCAGTGGATCAACAAAGAGATGCAAGGTAATGTGGCTTCAACAGTTACTCACATTCAAATTCAAATATAGGAGGGAAGCCTAACTGCAAGTGATGGCGTAGTGGAACTACTTATAAGGCAGCATGATCAGCGACCACGGAGGAGCAGTTCGACAGTTTGAAGTGCAATTCGATAGTCATCTTTGAGGAGTATAAATAGCAAGGAATGCCCCAGAAAAAACCTCCGGACTCAGATAAAAAAAACCAGTCTTAGTTTACATATTTCGTTCCAGTTTTTATATTTCCTGTTCTTTGCATTCCTGTACTTTAAATTCCTGCACTTTTAAATTCCTGCACTGCACTTCATTCATATAAGTAGTTTCAAGTAGATTGTCGCTATAAACCTCTACGAGGCTGAGTTTGGATCATTGTAAATTTTTCATACTAATGAAATGCTTCAATTGCTCTTTATTTAACTGTTCTTGTACTTAAATGCTCCTAAATCAAGCTACCAGTAAAAATCCTCTTCATTGAGGCTGAAAGAACTACAACACAATCGTCTGATAATTGGTTGACAATCAAAATTCTGTAAGGACTGATTGATCCTTGCTGGCACGCTCATAATTACAAAAATAACCTTCAAAAGCCAAAAAAACCAACAAAAATACTTTTTTTCTAGAGTTCCATTGGAACTCACCACATACCTCACTTGGGTTTCTTCTATAATACATACTCTTTTTTGTCTGTATCATATATAAATTATAATAATTTTTGAGTCTATACCATATATAAATTATAAATTACCCTCACAATAAATCATAAGTAATTCATAATCAATACTAAAATAAATCATAGTCAAACACAACTTGAAACATAACTAAAATTCTCTTCCATCATAATTAAAATAACCACTATAATAGATAATAATTAAATCATAATCAATATCATAATAAATCATAACTAAGTTATAAGTAACATCACAATGAATCATAATAAAAAATTACAAAAATTATAACTGAGCATATAGTCGCTATTTTTTTTTGGATGTGTATTATAGAATTTCCCTTTTTGTCTATGCCTGAGACACATGTAATTGAGACTCATGCAAGTTTGCTGCAAATTGATCATAGGATTGGATTAAAACATGTCATGTAATTTGACTACATCCACAAATTACAACAATGTTCTTATGAACTAACAAGAATGTTTTATGTACAATGGAATAAGCTTCAAAAAACGAAAATGAACTACAGAGTCAGTTCCCATATGGCCTAAAAAGTGATCAGTTCTCTTCATCAGAGTCAAAACACTGTCTTCTCAAAGATTCCAGTACAGCTGCGGACCGGTCTCCTTTCGAAACCATTCCTCCCATGGAAGTCTTGAGCTTAGGCACACTCATGGCACTCAGTGGTGGTGTTTTACCACCCTGATTCACTTCCCTGAGCACTGACCGAGCCGTGGCTCTAGCCACCACATCTGCCATTGCTGAATCAAGTTTCGAATTCCCACTCATCAACATCCCAGGTACTTTACTATGCACATTACTGTCTGTCACGGCCTTGGAAGTTCCAGGCGAACGAAATGCATCTGATCTTTGCATCATTGAAACAGTTTCAGTAGCCGTTGACTTTGCCTTCAACGACTCATACTTTTGAATGTCGTAAATGAGCTCTTTCTGCAGCTGTTTATCAGCTACCAATATCTCATCGATCTCATTCTTGTAGTCCTTGAGAAGGACTCGGAGGCATTCCATGAGGGAACCGGTTAAAGGGCTGTTTTTGCTTTCCAAGAGACGTTTTAGCTCTATGAATATGGGGATTGTGTTTTGGATCAGGCCTTTTTTGACTGCTTGAGTTATAACCCTTCCTCTAGCTGCAGCTGCAGCTGCACTGCCGCTATCTCCTCCACCTTCTTCATCCATGTCTCCAGGATCGGATGATGATCCGCGGTTGGATGGAATTCGGATTTCTTTGCTTGAGAGAATTTGGAAAGCATCCTGTTGTCTCCCCATCAAAAAAGCACATTGTACATGAAATATGCATAACAAAAAGGAAATGCATTGGCAACGCTTTCATTTCCTTTCTTTTCTTATTTTCGCTTTAAAAATTCTGGAAATTGAAAAGAAAAACGCGTTTGGTGATTCTTTTTCATTTCAAAAAAGTGGCAACAGTTTCCAAAAATTTCAAAACTTCTTAACTAAAAAAAGATGTTTTCTTTTCATTTCCCTCCTCTCCCCCACCATCACCATCCACCACCTACGGCCACCCTCATGTGACCCTCCGGCCACCCTCTCATGACCATTGGGGACCTCCAGCAACACTCCACCACTGGCCACCACATTCATCCACCCTCCACCACCTCCAGCAACTCACCAAGCATGTGTTTCTGTTTTCAAAAAAAAAAAAGTTATGTTTCATATTTTATGTCGGGTTGAATTTCCTGTTCTCTAGACTAGGCCTCCAATATACTAAAAAAGAAAACACGAAACTAGCAACGTTACCAAACAGCTCCTAAGTATGTTTATTTGTAATTTTTTCTTCACCTTTGGAGAACGAAAAGATCAAGAAAAGGATAACAAACAGAATGGACCAATCCAAGTGAATTCCATATGGCTCAAGCTATCAATGCAGCACAACTTCTATATAAGAAATATTTTGTAGCAACCACCAAACCTCCCATAAATTTCACTACTAGGTAAAATAATGACAGCACCCTCTTTCAACAGCAGCAACTACAGAGGAGCTAAACCACTTCAATGGGATGGAATATGAAGCATTCACATTGAGAGAGAGAGAGAGAGAGATTGCACAAAATTAGTACCTGCAGAACTGATTGTCCTGTAGCATCTTCTATACTCAGCATGCCGTCAGATACAGAAGCAAGGATCTCTGCACATACCTTGGCAAAAGTGGCTAAAAGGTGCTCTGGAGCCATTTGTTTCAGCAATGAAACATAGATGTGCATTCTTTTAGACCTCGATTTCTCATCATTACCTCTGGAAAAGAAAAATTACAAACTTAGTGCAATGTCTCTTCAATTAGGAGTAGTTATCTTTACATCTACAAGACTTTCACATACCTAATAGCGAAAAGTCGGCTCTCAGCTCTTGAACTCTGAGAACTACTATGTCCAGTATGCACATTGCAGTCATTCAGAACAAAAACAGCTTCAACAAAACTATTATAAGCTAGAAGTGGTGCCTTGGCTGCAAATATATCACACATAAAGTCAATTCCTGACAACAGACTTAGAGCATCTCCATTGGTGCAGCATTTTTTGTGCTATTTTAGCACAGCAAAAGCACAAATAGGATATAGCACGGTGATATTTTAGCATAACATATACTACACTGCTGAAGTGAGTGTTTATGTTGTGTTTTGTTATTTAAGCACTGCTACACCTAAATACTACACCATTGGAGTTGCTCTTAAATCATCGGTTCAAGAGAATTTGCAAATGACAGCTCTGTGAAAGCATCACAACCTTTTAGGATGTTCCCAAAGAGAAAATCAGCCAGATGTCTTATTTTTTCCGATTCATCAACAAGGGATAACAAAAATCGTAGGAAAAGTACACCTCTCCACTTCACGTAGTCCCTCTGAAATGAGTAGAAAGTTAAAAGAACTAATTTCCCAAAAATTATCTTCAAAATGGAAAGCATACAACATTTTAAATAACAAAAACAAACCTGTAATAGTCTGGAGAGCAGTATAAATGTCTGTCTTCTCACAAGCTCACATGGATCACAGAGACACTTTGTGATATTTGATATGTAACTGTTGACTTTATGAATAGCTAGTGAGAATTTTGAAGAAATTATCGCTGACAAGTTCTTGTTCCTTAACCAGAGAAAATAAAAAGTGGCTCACCAGTCAACTAGAGCAGTATAGCGTACACAAAAATCTGCCATCATTACAACAATATTATTGCGAAGGGCCGCACAGTCACTCTTTTCAAGCTCCTGTAGTAACACAAGCAGGCACTCTTTTAAACGATTATTTGCAGAATCCTAGATATAAAAGTAAACAATCTCTAGGAAATAAAGTCAGGCAATTTACATATAAGATCCAGACAACTACATAAAATGATCACTCCAAAAGAATACTGAATTCTGAGTCATAAAAGATTAGGGCTTCTCCGGAACTAGCAGAATTTAGTAATGTTAAGTGTTAGGGGTAGTTTGGTCTTTATGTATTATTCTTATTAGTATAAGAATAATGGTCCTATTACGAATGATTTGAGTCTTCCTATTGCTCTCAGAAAGGGGGTTAGAGCTTGTACTCAACACCGTATTTCTAAATTCGTGTCATATGATTCGTTGTCTTCTACGTATCGTGCTTTTGTTTCGTCCCTTTCTTCTGTGTGTATTCCGTAGGGTTGGAAAGAAGCCATCAATGATCCTAAGTGGAAGGTAGCTATGGTAGAAGAGTGTTAAAATAAATTGATGTATTATTGATTGATTGTTATGTTCTGTTTACAATGAGTCTTATATATAGAAGATTAAAGGAGGTAGGTATGTAGTAGGTGGAGTAGGTGAAGTAGGTGAAGTGGGTGGAGTAGGTGTAGTGGTAGGTTTTGGTACATTTTAACAGCCCCCGCAAACTCAAGGGGGATAGGAACTAACCAACTTGAGTTTGGAGAGACTAACAAAACAAGAAAATAGACGAATACATAAAATAAAAAAAGGATAGGAGACACTGTATAGTCGTGTCAGACCGTTGTAGAAGACTGTATGGTTATGGTAGACCGATGTAGAAGACAGTTTATGGGGTCATGTCGGACCGTTGTAGCAGACAATGTTGTGACAGTTGTTGTGACAGTTTACGGAGTCTTGCTGGACCCTTGTAGAAACTAACCGGAATCAATGTCGGGACAGTTTACAGAGTCTTGTCGGACCCATGAAGGAGCTAACCGAAATCAATATCGGGACAGTTTACAGAGTCTTGTCGGACCCTTAAAAAGTCACACCCTCAAAAGGTGTGCCCAATCTTTCAAAAGGCGTGCCATCAAAAGGCGTGCCCAATCCATAAAAAGGCGTGCCATCAAAAGGCGTGCCCATTCCATAAAAAGGTGTACAGGACATGATGGCGAGACGCGTGACCACATTGGCTTGCGCGCCCGTTTTGTCGTCTGGCGTCAAGTGGCACGCGATGCGCGTGTCTGCCTCGGCTATTTAACCAAGACGGAGGCTGAGGCAGAGACTAAGACAAAAAACTGGCTAAAAACCTCTGAGAAACTCTTCGTTGTCTTGAGAGAGATACTCTGTAACACTCTGTAACCAACCCTTCTCTGAAACACTCAGCAACCCATAACATGGCCTCTTCGTCCCGTAGTCTGCTCACTCTCTTTCCCGACCTCAACGAGTCCACAAGAGAGGTAACTGGTGCGGTTGCCCGTGAACCTCAACCAAGCGCCACTGAGTTTGCTCCGTTGACCTTTCCTATGCGGTCTGTGGAGCAAAGAATGGCAGCACAATCAGATATTGAGGCGAATCAGTATACTTCGAAGTCATGTGTTGAAACCATGACTGCGGTCACAAACTTGTCGCACCGGCTGCAGAGTAGGACAAATGAGGTGCAGCAGTTAAACGCCCAACTGGCTCTGCTCCAACGCATGTATAAGGATGCGCGAGCAGAGATAAGTGTGCTAAAGGCGGAAAATAAGGAGCTGAAGCGGAAGGCCACCGTGATGTTCCGATTTGAAGGTCCGCCATATGCTGTAGTGGAGGAGCAGGAAGGAGTGAACGTGCTCGGTGGCGTGGAAAACACGGAGGCAGCACCGTCAAGGACCGCCCAGGACGGAGGCAAGAAGAAAAGACCGGCGGCAGAGTAGAGAAGGGATACGAAAAAAAAATCCTTTGTTTGTTGTGATGGTGGTCTGTGTTTTTTTTTTTTGTTTTTTTTTTTTTTTTTTTTTTTTTGGTGTAAGTGTGATCGGGGTGGATCCCTGAGATGAATAAAATAAGGTAAGGTTTGGTGTGCCATTTTGTTTTTTTGGTTGTTGTTGTTGTTGTTGTTGTTGTTGTTGTATTTGATGTATTGAATTGGAGCTTAAATTTTTTTTTTTTTTTTACTCAAAGTATAAAAGAAAAGAAAATTGAAGAGAAGTGTGTGAATGTGAA